AGCGAGTTCCAGAGAATTTTGCTGATGGACTGGCTGTCCTACTGTGGGGTGCTTCAAGGTACTGTCTTGTCTCTAGAAGTTCTCCAATAGTTTAATACCAATATGATCATCACCTCATTTGGGATTTTATTTATTTATTTATTTAAAACTTTTGTATACCATCTCATCACTGACATCTTGGGACGGTTCACAGTAACAGCAGTAAAATAAGATAAAAATATAAATATAAGGTGATAACAGTATTTTGAAGACACTCAACTCTACTTCTCCAATATATGTCCATCACAAGAAGCCATCTATATCCAAGATAAGCACCTGAATATACTGGATGGGAGTGGGGGTCAATATACTAAAGTTGAATCCCAGGAAGACTGATGCTCATCAGACAAGTGTTTCCCAGATCTGGAATTGTCAGCTGGATGGAGATTAGCTCCCCCTGAAGGAACATATTTAAAATCGCGGGATGTTCCAAGTGCCCTCCATGGCTAGGATTGCCTATTACAAGCTTAAACTGGTACGCCAACTGTGATGTACTCTATCGTTAAGGATGGTTCAGAACCTGGGATGAGTGCGGCATGCAGCAAATGAGTACTGACTGGGCCACTTTACCATGTTTCTAATATGCTTGTGCTGAAGGATCTAAATAGGGTGTCAGTCCCCTACTGCACTACTTTAAAGTGTAGGGTGTTTCTATTAGTAAGCAAAGCCTTATAAAACTCAGGACGAGGCTGCATCAAGGAACACCTCCCTCTATACCAACTTTTCATCCTTAGGGAAGACCCTGTGGTCCATTCTGTCCCCTATGGACTCTGTTTGGCGGTACATGAAGATGGATCTTCTCTGCACTTGCGCCCATCTTTTGCCACCTTCTGTCCTCTGAGGATCATTGGGCCTCAGAGCTGGTGTTCTGGGGCATTTACTGAAAATGTATTTTTTCATTTTCCCCTAGGAAATAGCTATCATCATATTAACATCCTGATATGTATGTGTGTGTGGTGGGGGGGGGGGTCTTGTTTCATTTGTTGTTGTTTTTTTCCCTTCAATAAACTACTTCAGGATTTGTTTCAATTGAGAAGTAATATATAAATATTGTTAAGAACTAATAAATAAGTAAGTTTGTTGTGATAATAAAATGGAAAGCAAAGAGCCTTGTGTGCTAGCTGCCTAGAGTTCCTTTGAAGAATGGCAGGATATGAATGTAGCAAATTAGTAAATAAATCAAACCTTGGCTAAGCTGAACTAAGAAATTATGTAGGAGAAAAGCCAAACTTTTAAGGACTACTGATGCTCCAATTTCAGAACAAAACATGCAGTCCACCTTATGTTTTGGTGGTATACTCTGTTTGATAAAATCCATTTGGTTTAAGAAATCTGTTTACCTTACTCTTTGTAGCAAGTTGCACTAACCTGAACATTATGAAGAAATAAAAATCCATAAGACATAAACTGGCTTTACCCAAAATATTCCCCCAACCTCTGCAACTTTCTCTTAGTGTATTTATACTCCTAGTACTCCCCTGACAATTCACACTCAGGAGATCACTCAGAGAAACTACAGGATGTCCTAGCAAGTATGGCAGTATCACCAGAAATTCCAAATATTATTATGGAGGTTTATCTTCACATGTAGCCAGGTACAAGTTAAACCAAGGAATAAACCAAGCAGATAAACTAAGTATATGTTCACTAGTCATTTGGAATGGTCAAGATATATGCTGGTTTTAAGCAATGAGGCTAGGGATTATAGGATTACAACTGTTTTATCTATGGGGAATGAATGGCAGAAATAGAACGGGTAACAGATGAAATGTCATACATTAGCAAATGCAGCTTAACTCCTCTGTATCTTCTCCCATATGTTAGACACACCTGTTTCTACTGCTACAAAAAAAGATTTAAAATGTCAGTGCACAACCCAGATCTCTCCTTGCACATATGGAAAAGTTGGCAGCTACTGGCACCAACTGAATTTGCTCAGAATTTGCGTATCAAGAGAGAATGAGTATGTATGCTCATGCTAAATGCAGTGCAACATTAGTTGACACACATGATGCTGGCTGTCAAGTCCTCGAATGTCTGCACTGTAACACAAAAGTAAGCCAATTCATTTTCTACAGCCATTACAAGGGAAGGCAAAATTATAAATTCATCATTAACACTACATAAAAGAGGCTAATGCAATCTATCTTTGGAACCAGTTATCATGTACTAGTCTGAGTTGTAAAAAAACTACTTCTGGGTATTGCTGACAGGGAATCATACAGAAAGGGTCAAGCCTTAGATGCACACAAAAAACTTTTCACCCATTTAGGGGCTTAAAAATGTAATTTCATTCAATGTGTTAAAAACAGAAGCCTATAAACCAGGGGTAGGCAACCACAGGCCCCAGGGCCAAACTCATCATTGAAGAGACCTCCGGGTTATCCCACTATCTTCCCTTGGCTCCACCTCTAGTCATCTCAACCATGAATTATTTTACAGTTTCCCAGAGCTTCAGTAGTATTTTTTTTCCTGCATGTTAAACAGTTGAAATCCTTCTTCTTGGGTTTAGCTTCTGCCAGTAAGAGCTTTAAACTATAATATGCTGGTGAGAGAGGTATAGTTTTGACCTCACTTCTTTCACCTTCAGCCCAACCATCTTTTTCAGGACTGCCCACATGTGGATTGTGCACTTCCAAGAGATTTATCCAAATGCACTTCAGCCCTCTGGATGAAGAGATACCCACTCCTGCCTAGATAATCTGGACTGTACACAATCCAGATTATCTAGGTAGCATGCATGAACTGTCTCATTTGCCCCAATGCCATAATTTTGGAAATATGAAGACATGACAGTAATTATTATTTCCCCAGTGCAAAGAGGAAGGCAATCCTATGGCTCAATAGGATGACCAAATGATCATCTGAGAATATGCTCAGATGAGCCTCAGAAATCTGGGCCTCATCCTTCTATTTCACATTCTTTATTTGAAGTGCATGCATCTCTTTTAGCCTTGGGAAAGTTTAGAATGGTTTATTTGGGTTTCAAGGAAGTCCTCCTTCCAGGCATTAATGAAGGTGACACCTGTCTAAATTCAGGTCTCCACTTCAAGTACTTCCAAGCATGGGAGTACTTCCACTAGTAATTCTTGTGTCTGGTAATGTTCCCATGGCTTTAAGAAAATGCAGACATCTTGCAAGCCTCTATGCACATCTTAGCAATATTGAAGTACCTTTCTCAGAGCTTCTGATACATAGTTGACCCTCCCATATTCAGTTATTAGACATGGAAGCTAGAAGAATCCTCTCAAGCCAGGAAGCCAAAATGTGACACAGCCCAGTGTGGGCAAACTCTCTGTCTCAAAACCAAGCCATTATGATCAGCAGCAAAGCAAAACAGAATTACTTTAGAAATGCCAGTTTATTGAAAGATAGACAGATTGCCACAGATGTGCAGGAATTCTGATGTTTTGTCAGTAGATGTTTTGTCCAACTCACCAGCTCTCATCATCGAAAGAAAAAACTCCACTTTTATGAGAACTGGAAAATAACTTGTACAATAAAAATGGCACAAGTGTATTTACAATTCAGAGGGCTACTATGCAGATATACCTCTGAGGCTGAAGCAGCATTAGCTTTTATTCTCTGCAGACAGGTGCTTATTATGCATTTCCTGATCTCTCCCACTTCATAAATTCCTGCCACACTTTGAGATGCATGCTAGACAGTAGCAATGGGATTTGGGCACCTGCCATAAACTGAAGAGGCTCCCCCAAGCCTGCAAATAGAAATAGCTCCACAACTTCCCTAAGCAGCTGCTCACTTTTAATTGCTCCCTATAGCACGGAGCAATTAGGGAAGACAGTCTCAGATAGAAAAGCTTTGAAGTCATCATATCCTGAACTTCCTCTGCCTATGGCTCCATAGCACACAAGATAGCAGAAACAGTGGGATAGATTTTTTGCATATATACAAGATGAATGATTGCTGTTGTAACAAACTATTCTCCTCTGAAAAGTCCAAACTTCACACCACCACAGTTAGATTACTCCCCACATAACCAGAACTTCATCCCTTGATCAACAACATACTGATTAATTTGTGGGTTCTGTGACCCATATAAGCCATCTGATCAATACAACCCAAACTTTAATGTAATTAAAGAAAATAAGATTTTCTTAAAATTCATAGCAATTGAATACAAAAGTATATGTTTTATATTGTAAAAGTATGACAAACAATGTTATTTTACCCACCATGGGAATATTTATAGATTTTTAAGTTTTACTAGTCATGCTAGCAAAAAGATTTAGCACTTACAACACTGCTGTTGAACACAATAAATACATCAAGAATGCAAGTTTCTCAGCTTTAAGCTCAATTTTTTTTAAAGAAAAAAGTGCTTCAAAACATAATCAATAGATTCTTCCATATTTTACTACTGTGAAGAAAAAACAATTCTGAGTGCAACAGCTACACTTGATCCAGGGAACAAACCCTTCCATACACAGCTCGGTTCTAACACAGGGATGCAGCCGTGGGAGTTGCATTTATTTAAAGTCTTTTTCACATGTTATATGCCATATCTGGTGGACATTAACAAGCATGTGCAAAAGGAAAAACAGCAAGTTCCGTCACTCAGCGTACACTTTTTGTTGTAATGTCCAAAAACATATCTGTGAGTACAACTTCCTTCCCCTTCTGCACTGACAAAAATCCTCTGGCTTTTTGTGGCTATGAAAATTCTAAGACAGCAGGTTATTTTTTTTTTAATGGTTTTAACAGAGCTATGACGTACATATACCTCTATATTACATCACAGTATACCCTCAAAATACATTTACTCTATAACTCTCAAAAGCACCATTTGAGCACTCCAGCTTGTATTGTCTTGCAACTTCCCTAAGTTGCAGAGGTGCAAAATTCAGATCAATAATGCTACACACATGCACCAAGTCAATGCTCCATTACAACAAAAACACAACATTCTGTATATTTGAAAGGAGAGATGAGGGGCATACCTGAATGGCTTCTGTGGTGTGATGAGGCCAGTGTCAGCCTTCCCCATAGTGTAATAAGGCAGAGAGAGAGCACCAATACCCCTTTGCTCAAGCTTCGGATGTCCCTCTCACTCATTCTGCCATAGAAAAACCAAAGTATTAAAATTGCACCTGCCGTGCACAGAAAGTGTAGAAAATAGACATGAAGATCTTACAAATTCTGCTACGCATTTGGGAAGCAACTGGGCAGGAAGGAGGAATCCAAAAGATCCAAGTGGTAAGCAGTTACATCATTGTCAAAACCATGTGCACCCCACTTTTCCTCATGCGTACCCCAGCTTTCCACAAGATGTTTCCAAGCCAGCTAACAAGAACTAAAATGTTAAAACAACTTTAACACACCAACAAAACCCAAAAACCTGAGAGCGATAGAACAAAATCTTTTTGTCAAGAACTTGCTACAAGAAATTTGGAGCGAGTCAGCTACATGGTTTCTTCTACATATGAATCTAGTTTAGAAAGTGAAATTATCAGATTATCTGTAGTGCTGCTAAATATTGGTTGCATAATTAACATGGTAATGTTTGAATGCATTGCCCCACATATAGTAGTGGCTGAACTGTTTCCAGGTCAGGCTGATGCGGCACAATGAATTCACTTAGGATAACACTGAAAAACACCATGACAACCTGTTCTCGAGCAGAGAAAATAGCACAAATGTTACACATACTTCCTGTTGTTGGCTCAAGAAGAGGGAGAAAGGCCAGATAGCACCTCTACGTTCTCAGAAAATATAGAGAGCAGTAGTCCTCAAAATCCAAGTAACCAATTGTTACTGTTTTATCAAGATGCGTCTATCTTTTCCTGCAGCTACCATGAAAGAACCAGATGCACTAACATTTGTACAAACTCCCACTTACTTCACAAGGAAGCAAATATCTTCCTTTTTTTCCTTTTTGCACTAAAAAGAAATCCTTTAAAACACTGAAGTCCAGGAAAGGGGCACTGATAGTACAGGCAGTCCTTGGGTTATGAACAAGTTCCATTCCCGAGAAAATGGAAATTCATCTTTAAGTTGAATTTGTATGTCAGATCACTTATAGTCACCCCCCCCCACATTTGTGGGGTTAGAGGTGTGGGACCCTCATGAAAGGGGAAAAGCTATGAATGCCTCTAACCGCCACCCACCGAAACTCACCAGCACAAGGAAATGCCAGAGACAGATGCTGCCCTCTCTCCCCTTCCACCTCCTCTCTCTCTATGGCAATAACAATATTTTTTTTTATTTTTAATTTATAGGCTTCATGGCAGTTTGTTTGTAAGTATGGGTCGTTCATAACTAAGCTGTTCATAACTCAGGGACTGCCTGTATAACAGAAGCAAGATATCCACCTCTTCTATTGTGGTTGCTGCACCAAGACGGATACATCCAGCTTTCTTACGTGAATGCTTGCAAAGGCACAGAAAGGTCAAAAATTGAAAAGAATAATTGAGCAATTATACTTATTCATTCATTCATTCATTCATTCATTCATTTCATTTCATTTTTATATCGCTCAATAGCTGAGGCACTCTGTGCAGTTAAAAGTACACAAATGCTAAAAAGATGCGCACAAACATTAATTAAACAGAAAAACACCATAAGAGCAATTGCAATTGCTACTCACCTCCTATTGGGGCTTCACAGCTACTGCCTGTACATCGGCCAATCTCAGATAGACTTTGTATTTGCAAAGAAGGGCAAACATCAGGGCATCTAAAAACGAAACAAAATGAGACAAAACAAAATCACATGTTAGATTTACAATGAACAAAGCCTATCTGAAATTTCTGCAGAGCAGTTTTCAAAGAGAGCATTTGAGGCTCTCCCACACATAATCCCATAGACCAAATTATACATATGATCAACTCTTGCTCTCCTCTTCAGCACCCCACACTTCAGCCATACCTCTTCCCCTCATCTCTACTGAGAACATGTGGGATGCCAGCCTCATGGCAACATGCCATGCTAATTCATGCACAATCTGAGGTTTTGTGGGTGTTTTCCTATGCACACCACTCTTGTGTTTTATAATGTAGCACAGTGAAACATTGACATTTCAGTGCATATTAGGATATGCATATGCAGCAGTGTACCAGGTCAAGCCCTTTTTATTCTCCCATTATTTTCATTGTTGGTCAAGATGTCTTTTTAAATTAGCTTTTATTATAATGATTGGTTGTAGTAGTTTTATATGTTATTATCTATTCTGAGTTTTAACTGTTTTGCTGTCCTTGTATATGTTTTCAGTTATTGTTATACTGTTTTAATGTTTAGCGATCTGTCAGCCATCCAAGGACCTATGTGCCAAGAGAATGGTATACAAGTTTAATAAATAAATAAATGGATTAGATTTATATTCCACTTTTTTTCTTACACAAAACTCAAAGCAACTTACATCATTCTCCTCCTCCTGCTCTCACTCTTATCCCCACAACAACCCTGTGAGGTAAGTTGGGCCGAGAATCTGTGATTGGCTCAAAGTCATCCCGTTGGCTCCATGGATAAGCAGAAAGGAGAACCCAGATCACCTGAGTTCTAGTCCTACATTCTTAACCACTGCACCACGCTGGCTTTTGGAGGGCATTCATTCATAGGTTCACCATAAGTCTGAGGTTGTAAAATACATAAAATACATAATATAACTGAATAAAAATTTTTTAAAAAAATGAAAACTACAGGATAAAACGAAAGTAAAAACTAGCAGCAGCAAAAGATCTAAAACTACAATAAAAGATTAACAAACACAAACCAAAGGCCTGAAATGCCTTTCTTATGCTCCTCCCCCAAAAGAAATTGTCTTGAAAGTCTGCCAATGTACAGTTGGAGTTGCTTCACCATATGGTTTTTTTCTCATCTTGCTTTTATGTCTTCTAAGCAACTTTATATATATCTTCTATTACAAAACTTGGTCTGCACTGAGGCACCCATGAGTTTTGTTACAGTCTTTCTCTGCCATTGACTAAGAAGGGCTGTGACTTCCCAGCGTATCAGACAATGATATAAGAGGAATTAGAACTTTAATATCCATAGCACCTTCTATTAAATTAAGTTTGAATGGCCACCACCTTCCTAGGAAAAAACTGAAACTGTAGCTGGGAAGCTAAATGGTATAGAAATTTTTCTTGCCCAGTGATGTGGATAATTTCACCATGATTGAACAGAAATCTGGAGAAGCGAGAAAGTGAAAAAAAAAGTCTTTAAACTGCAAAATACTGAGAACCAACCTTTCAAATAATTACATGAATACTTTGATAAGCTAAGTATTACATTCATTCAGCACTAAAAAGTGAGAAAGACAGCTGAAAACACCCATTTCCCAAGCCTCCTTTGGATTATCCTACTGTTTATCTTTTAATACTGTATATTCAGACATGGACAAAAACTCTTACTGCCAAACATATATGTATATGATGTATATGTATATATCTCCTAACAGTACAGATCATATGAACAGGTGTAGTTTTCCATACCATCTATGCACAAAAACCATCAATAGATTCCATGGAACAATACAGCACTGTATTCAGAGAGTATTCTGTTCTAACTACTGCATAATTTCATCTTGAATGCTTGTGTGAGAATGATTGGCAAGTGTCTTTCTTTCCCTTAAGACAATGCTGGCAGCCAGCTCTGGCAGAGGGAGCCTGCTCGAAGGACATCTGCATGGTGAGCCAGCAGGTATAAGATGAAACCAAGCCAAGGGAAATGTGCCAAGCCACTTGCTGCTAGGAACCTTTCCCATTTCCAGGCCAGCCCAAGACATTTTCCTGCCTGAGGCAAGAAGCAGGATGGTGCCCTCCCTCCCCATTCCATATCAGGAAGCTGAACTGGCAACTGAATCCTGCATTGACAGAGGTGACAGAAGAGCATCTTTGATATCTGGACCTGAGAAGAACAGAGTAGCTCACAGGGTTCAGAACGGGCTGTGCAGTGTAGACAGCTTTGTTTCTTCAACACCTTGTCACTGTTGTGTGGCCCAAGCATCTTCCAGTTCTGGTGACTGCCCCATTCTACCTAATGATAGAGCTGGCCCTGCCTGGTTCTTTTTGGTCCCTGCAAAGTGAGAACATCAGCAGGGATGTCACACAAGAAGCAGGATGGCTGCAGCACCAGCAATAGGAAACCAGGCTCAGGTAGGGGGCTGTGGAATGGCCAGGCAGATAGATTAGAGTCTATGGCAGTTGGCTTACTGTCTGACACAGTACTTACAATTTTATTTTGCAAAGACCTCTCTCTCTCTCTCTTTCACACACACACACACACACTTACTTTCCTCTTATTCATTCAGTGATTGGTCCTGAAGTCAGGAACATCTTGAGGACCAGGAAACACAAGGGGCAGCAAGCAGTCACAGAAAAAACAACCCTTCCCACACGTACTCAGTTTACCAGGGATGGGGGAAATGACATCTTCACAGCCTCATATATCACCTACGGGGATTTAGTAGGGTCCAGAGTGAACGGCCCTGGGAGCTGTAAAAGTTTAGTGCCCAATCCAAATTTATTAACAGTAAGCTAGATAGTGAATGAACGTTGTTTGTGATGATGTAGAGCCACTACTGGGCACAGATCCAGCTCACCACTGTTCCTTGTCAAAACAGGCACTGGGTTAATAATGATTTATCTGAAAGCGTTTTAATCTTTCATTTGATAACAGCAAAATCTTAATCTTTGTGTTACTGTGGCCCATTTTTCCAGTTTGTTCTTTGGAAACGACTACATTTTCTAAGCAGCTGCCTAAAAAGCTCCAGTTTAGATCACAGTCTCTTCTAAACCTCCAAAGCTGCTGTTCCAAATATACAGAAAAAAGAAAAGGTAGAGAGTATTACGTTTCTGAGTGCACCACTTACCAAGTTATATTTGTCAGTCAAGCCTCAACTATTGAGGAAAGCAGCTTGGGTTACTTAATTTGCTTGCCATGTAAGAAAACTCCATACATTTCTCTGACTCAAATTCAGCAGAAGCCAACTGCAAATTTAGCTTCTACAGAGTACAGAGAGAGTGTTTGCTCTGAAAAGCCTTTCTACATGCTCCCCATTATTTTCAGTATGATCACGGAGACTTCCTGCGTCCCAGTAGTCCATGTGGCCCTATAGTCCATGATCCACTGGTCCTAAATCAGCACCTTATGAGGACACAAGCAAGCTGCACAAGGGTGAAATAAAAATGGAGGATGCAATAAAAGTTGTCCAACACAACACTAGAAAAATGGAATGGTTGCCCTCCCACCATAAAGGAAGCTACTCATGAAGGAGAAGCTCCTGGTGTTTTATGACATCCAAACAAATTCAATGTATCAACAGTTGGTGGCAACATTAAGCAAGAGCAATTCCAGTTTGTATTTTATGCATTGTGTGTGTGTGCTTTCCCTTTTTATATAGAATGTTATTTGCAACTCATTTGTCGCAATTCATTGTCCCTTCAATACTGCCCACAATAACTGGAGCACCATACTAAAACATATGCCTTTTCTTTAAAGTTCTATACTAGTTCTGTTGGGAATGTCATGGACTATTCAATGCACTTTATCTCATCTGCATGTATTTAATAGAAGAGCAAGCAATCATTGTACAATCCCTTCCTTCTTTTTTAACTGTCTCCAAATGGCAACCAGCATGGTTGGGCAATTGCATATAGTGGCAATATGTTGAAATTAATAAAGATTTCAAGGATGTTTATACTATTACATTAACCAAGAGAGAGCATTGTGCAAAAGATCTAATTGTTGCTGTTCAAACGAAAGAAAAATGGGGTGGCAGAAGAACAAGGTTTGCCCCTGAAATTAATGTCATTTCCTCAGGCTGAATTTGGAAGATTCTACTACACTGTCACCAATGGGTGACAAATGATCTTTCCAGGAAGGTGGTAGTGGGGAGAGAAAGAGAGAATTTGCAATTAGCAGCTTTATCCTACTGTCTTTTCAAAAGTAATGCTGACAGAATCTAGAGGGCCTTCACAAAGGTGGTGACCCAGCTTTGGTTCTCCTCAAGATGGATTGCCTGAGGCACAATTTGATTAGCTTCAGGCATGAGAAGGGCATATGAAGGCTCTCCAGTTTCCATCAACCTCACACATTGAACACACAACAGGCATCCAGCTTCATTTATTTATTTGTCCAGGCTCTTAATGAGTAATTTTAATGTTTTGCTGTTTTAATGCTTTCATTGTTTTACAGCTTCTACAGCTATTTTGGCTTGCTGGCTGCACAATACTTCTGCACTTAGTTTTCTCTGAAATTGTTATAGGACTAAGAGCACTTTCCTGCTTTTAATCAGCTAGAGCATCTTCCCCTCATGGTGCCCTCCAGATATATTAAAATCCAGCTTCCATCATGTCCAGTCAGTGTGGTCAATAGTGGAGGGCACTGGGCATTATAATCCAACACTTCTTGGGGCATCATGTTGGGGAAGGCTGAACCAGATGCCAACCTCTCCTTTTCATTGTACGTTACCTACTGCAAAATGCCCTTGAAACCACAATAGAACAGATGAACCAGTCATGGATCAAAGCAGCTGAGATAACTGTTAGAAGTGCATGAATGCTGTCATCATTCAATGAACAACGAATAGGTGACTAGGATCCTCCATGAACTAATACATGAATAGAATCGTCTCTGAACCTGATGACTGCACATGTGGAATAGTCCAGTAAGACTGTTCCATAGGTCCTTGCCCGAGTTATAACTATCCACAAGGCAATCCCAGCTCTCTCCTG